CCACCGGCGAGGAGGGACCCCAAGGACCGCCGCTGAGCGCCAAGAAAACTCACCGGGGAGCTCTCTACGCTGCCGCCGTGGTCCAGCCGGCGGGATGCCAGGATTCTGACGAGCACGCCCACCAGCCACCTATATCTGTCCCGCACTAGGCACAACCTTCTTCGCCTGAGTCTCTCCTTCCATGATCCAGCCACTGTCGCCATTCCCGCTTCAGCCGCGCCGGTCCCGGTCATCCTCCCCATCCGATGGCCGCCGTACTCCTGCCAGAAGACGGCCCTGGTCTCCCTCCCCAGCCACTGGCCCAAGTCACCCCACCCCCACACACCAGCTATCGCCTCTGTTGGAATAATCCAAACAATGCCTAAGTTAGTTTAAGACTGATCAAAGTTGCCGGTTAATTAGTTTGGAAAGTGCACGTGTTAATAGTAGAATAGGAAAGCTATCATGAGTTGTGGTTTGTAGTTTCCTAGTACTAGTACGTGTACGTGTGTCAGATCTCTAGTTGAATTAGGAATCTGTAGCAGAGTCCGTCCATGTCCGTGTTGGTTTAGTAGTAAACGTACGAGTAGGTCCTGTGCTGGGGTGGTGGCTGCACTTATATAAGCAGCAGCAGCGCTTGAGTTTTGTACCGAAAGAAAACGAGAAAAAGAAATAAAGAGAGAAAATAAGGGCACGACAAGGGCCCTTAGCTATCAGTTTTTATGTGCGCATGCGTTCGTGCTATTTGATGTGATCGAGCCTGAGGGTGAATTTCCAACAGCCTCCTCGATCAACCACTTGCAGCACGGCGCAGGAGGGCCGTGGGGGCAGCAAGCACAACGGTCGCTCCGGCCTTGCTCTCTTCCCACACTGCGGCAGCAAGGTCCTCCTCCGGCTTCTTCTTCCACCATCTCACGCTCGGCGTCTTCCTACCCAACAGCCATGGCCACGGCGGTAACAACTTCATACCTTCTCTCCTTGTCCGGTCCCTGAGCAGCAAGGACTGCTTGGGGCTATACACATGCGCCCTTCTCACCGCCGCCGTTGGGCTCCACCTTCACCGCGTGATCCTCATCTGCAACCACTGCAGCTACACGGTGATCCGGTGCAACTCGACCTCTCCACTGTGCTCTATCTTGCTCCTCAAGAGCCTTGATTCATCATTTTGCCCTCGCTTTCCTTCCCTTAAGTTACTACACCCTACAATCTGAATTAATTGATGCAACCTCTATACAACATTGTATAGAGGTTGTATAGAGGCTGCATCAATTAATTTGGATCGGAGGGAGTACAAAATTTCACTGATTCCTGGGATGTAGGTGGAGATTTTGGATGAGTTCTTGACGCTCAGATCTGTTCTTCCCTCAACGTATGAAATGGCGAAATCATTATTCAACAAGGAGTAAATCTTATTTGTTCTTGAATATGGATTATCCATTATATGAAAGTAAAAAACTGTGAACTAAATCATCGCATAGAAGTGCAGTCATGAGCGGGTCCCATGTTCCTATGTGTGTACTACGCTGCAAAATTCAGTCATTTGGCTAAATCATCAAGGTATGACCAAGTGCAAAATTATATTTTTCAGCTGCCACTTGACGGTCCACTACCAGTGAACTGACGGTAGTGGAATATGTATACGTGTTGCAAAATTTCAGTGGCATATTTGGAATAACGTAGGGCACGGGTAAATTTACAATGGCATATATAGAATTCACCCTTACACATTTTACAATCGCATAGGGTTTGGGCAATGAGCAATCTTCATATGCTATAAGTATCTAATTTGGATACCGACAGTCACGGCGTATCTCGCCGTCAGCGGCCGTCTTCACCCCAACCCTGTCGAGCTTTGTCATGGCGACGCTAAAGTCGTAGAAGAAGGTGCTCTGGTTGGACGCGTAGTAGTCTACGGTACTGCGTGATCTCTCGTCTGTGTACAACACCTGGTCGGAGCCCAGGAGCCCCCTGCCGTTCTGCAGGAGCTTGAAGTAGGAGTTGTCGAATCCCACCGGTGTCACGTCGTCCAGGAAAGCGAAGTTCTGTCTGGCACAGGTGCCTTGAAGCTGCGCGTCAAAGCTCGGGTTCATGCTCGGGTCCTTGCCCTTGGTCCTGTTCTGGAAGAAGCTGCAGTCCGCCGCGCCCAAGGTGTGGGCACCTGAGGGGGTGGTATATGGTGGTCAACAACAGGTCGGCCGACGTGATCAGATTCAGAAGTCGACGACGTGTTGAGCTGAATCATGTACCTGATAATGCGATCATGTCGATCTGGGAGAGGCCTAGGGTATAGAAGAAGGCATTGAGGCTGTCGAGGTTGTCGTTGACGTGCGGCAGCATGACGCTGTTCGTCGTCGAGATCTTCCCATCGTACCTGCCCAGCTCCACTGTGTAGTTGGGCCCTCCGCTCTACAACACATTTGTTCATGGTCGTCTCATGGCAAAGGAAGATGGTCCTCTTCCTACTGTATTTTATTTTAAATAATGGGCTATTGCGCAAAATTAAAGCTGCACGTGTTATGTACTACTAAATTTGGACGTTAGTTTAGCGTCACGCTAAAGCTATATATGCCATGCTTTGCTTTATTATGGTTGGATGTTCTCTGCTATGCCTTTGTTATTGCTCAATGGTTTGTTCCTGTAATTGGCTGTATGCACCAAACTTTACTTTGTTATATGGCTGGGTATATATCAAGTACATGTCATATATATGATATTTATCGATTTTCACATATTTGGCTAGAACAACACTACCTGGGAGACGGACTCTCTTGTGGCGAGGGCGATTATGTCGGCGCAGGACACCTTGTAACGGCATTGAGGGTCGCTGTCCACGGCAGCCTTGGCGTCCAGGATCGTCTGGAAGCCCTCCGGCTTCAGCGAATAGTCATCCTGGTTCCGCCACTCGTCGTCGCCGGTCGGGCTGATGATCATCACCGACGCGTCACAGCCCTGCACGCATGACGTGCGTCGGTCAGTCTGTCAGTTGTGCAAGAGAGCGCTGTTATTACTTGCCTGTTAACCGTACCATGACGGCGCAGTCATGGAAGAAGAGCCTGAGGGTAGCGGGCGCGGAGATGGGGGACTTGGCCATGGACTGCTTCACTGAGTACCGGACAATGCCCTCCAGGTTGGGGCAGACGCTGGCGTAGTAGTCCGGCCACAGCTGCGCGGCCGCGAACGAGGACAGGACAGCGACTTCGAGGAGGATGAGGACGACGATGGCGGCGAGTGAGGCTAACGACTCGAGGTTCGCCATGGAATGGATCGACCCTGCTTCAATCAACTGTTATTTTTGTTAAGTCTGTTGCGTTGCGTGATCTTCTACAAGATGCAGTACGAGAGAGTGATGGCTGCCGCCCTACTCCAGCATATATATTCGACGGCCGATCGGAGCGCCGCGTGCGTCCATCCGCCGGCGGCCGCTGCTGGTCCAACGTGACTAAAGCAAAACTGCACTGAGGCTCACGCCACGGCAACGTTGGTGTCTCGGTGATGTTCAAGTGCGCTGGATCCTTACCATCGAATAAGGATGTACGCATTCATGAGCATACTTTCAAACTGCCGCGTTGTCACCTCCAAAAATGTCCACGTCGTTATTGCATGTGTCGCTTGGACTCCAGTGCACTGCAAACTGTCATCGTCACCTCCACATATGTGTCTCAAATGGCAGGAGTTGCAAAGTGACAAATATCTCCACTTCAAAATTTGTCTCATGTGACAGCTCACTGTTCTGGTAACGTACAAGTGAAGGACTATTTCTTTAGCGCAGGTTTGTTCTTTGGTGGGAATGGTAGAGACACGAGGTTTACATATCATCACTCAACGGCAACACACTACTACGACGGATATCTTTAATTGGGAATTACCTAGGGATAATGTATGTGGTCTAGTAATAAAAGGGGAGGCGCAGATAATGATAACTGCTTATTTTGTGATGAGAAAAATATATGGATCACTTGTTCCTTCATTGTGATGTAGCCAGCTGGTATATGCTTGGAGCATTGTTAAGTTATTGCTGCGATTATTTGATCGATATGGAAAACTAGAGATAACGCTCATTTCCGGAGTAGATTCAGTATGATCCTATTGCAGTGGTATATTTAGCATTTAATCTGTTTTCATATTGGTATATGGCATACCGTACACAAAGGAGCATCGAGCCAGCGAATAGGGACAAAAAAAAACCATCAAAGAGCTGTTGAGATTTTTCACAGGAGAAAAGGCTGGGGGCCAATGGTGCAGCGGATCACTGGATGCTTTGCCGTTTCACCAGGGGTTCTTGAGAAAAAAAAAATTCGGCGAAAAAGGTGCACTGATGAGATGTGAATCAAGTTTTGCGGATAGAAAGTTGTAACTGTAATGTTGAAGACTCGTAGTCTCAGTTCTGTTACAAGAAAGAAACTGTAGTGATGGTTCGCTTTTCTGGGATCTGGTTTAGTTTGGTCTTTGGAGCTCAAATATTGTGTAGGAGTTACTCTCTCCGTTTCAAAATTATTGAAGTTTTAGGTTTGCCTAAGTTCAACTAGTTTAAGTTTCACGAAGTCTAGAACACCAAATTGGTCTAATGAAATTTAGCGTTAAATATATTTTGAACTATGTATATATAGTGTTGTAGATCTTTGTTGGTTTTTACGTAAAGTTGGTCAAAGATAAACAAGTTTGACTTATGACATAGCTAGAACTTCAATTATTTTGGAACGGAGGAAGTATATAACAAGATATTTGAGATCAGGTGGGGGGTTGTGCCTTTCTGGTGATGCTTGGTTTCCTTTTTTTTCAAACCGGTGTCGTGTACGATCAATTTCATATGAATGAAATTGGGGCGGGGAGCCCTTGAACGGAAAAAATAATAATTTGCAAAAATACCACGGATACTTGGTTTTCAGCGTGCACTCTTGGTTGTAAGTGCGTGGCATGGTTGTACTTGTACCTTGTTAATATGTTGATGGCAGTTAACCAATCACACGAACCTGACATCTTCTATTGGAGCCTGACTATGTGGGGTATCTTCTCTATTGGATCTTTGTATGTCGAAATGGCCAACGAGGGTTACAAGTTTTGCACAAATTTGTTTGGAAACTCAAGTTACCACTAAACTTCAATATCTTGGTGATGAAAAAACCGGACGAAAATTAACCGCGAAGACTACCAACTGTTCCATTAGGAGTAGAATTCATGTGCGAACCAACCTGTGGTTGGATGGTTAGAGGGACTGTGGTATCCCCAGCCCACTAGGGTTCAAATCCTGGTGCTCGCATTTATTTCTGGATTTATTTCAGGATTTCCGGCGATGCGCATTCAATGAGAGGAGACATTCCCGTCGATGACCAGGCGCCTACAGTGACTTCGTAAATCTCAAGATGATATGTCGGCTCAGTCTTTCGGAGGTGCTCATAGGGGTAGGGTGTGTGTGTGCGGGTTCATAGGGATGACTGTATGCGCGTGTATATGAGCGCTTGTGTCTGTACTAATGTTCAAAAAAATTTAGAAAGATCATGTACCAATCAATAAAGAGTGCCCTGAACCCTAACCCCCTCATTCCAGCGAGAAGTGAGGCAGCGCGCATGTGGAGAACTCCCAGTTCCACTTTAATCGATGAAAATCACCCTAGGAATTGTCGGAGTGCGGCCATACACTCACAGTTTCACATGTCGTCTCATGGTTCTCCACCTTGAGCCATCATATCTCATGTGTATTGAACGTGACCTGCGTTTTCGTTACCCACCGAGAAATGTCGTTACCAATTTCTTTTCTCCGAATTATTTGAATTTGAACTAAACAAATGATCATGTAGTGCGCCTATGACTTTGTAGAGACACAACCTGCTTTACCATAGCGGAAACGCCTACCAACTTTCACCTTGGAGGCCGTGGAATCGGTCGCGTGTTTCTTGTCTCTGCCAGTGGGCCACGATCTAAGCAGAAGGAGCACAACAAATAGACCACCGGAACAAGCACGAGTTTGTGTATGTTGTAGGTAAACATAACCGGCAATGTAAACTAGCGACCGTTTGCTGGGGGCCAATCCTGGTGAACACGCTCTCTTCCATTGGTTTCGTTGCATGAGTCTTGGCACTGGGGATAGGAGACACGTCAACTTTTGGACTCGTTCGCTGTGATACAAAATCTAGTGAATGTTGTCCTATAAAAAACACTACCACCCACCACAAAGACTAGCGACGTCAACAGCCACATGGGAGACCTAGCATAGAATCGTGGTCCCTCCTTGTCTACTTTTTTTACGATATGGCAAAATATAGTTTCTTTTGCTTGGGTACATGGCAATTTTTCTAAAAATATTAACAAGGCAGTTTTTATAATTTTTTGAACTTCGTCACATGGCAAATTTGATCATTTTTTCCTAATGTTCACAAGTCAGGTTTGTTTTTGTACATGACTGTTTATTATTAATAACATGACATTTATATTTTTAAGAGGATAACATTTTTATTATTAAGAGGATGACATTTTTATTTGCTAATGTTCACATGTCGGGTTTGTTTTTGTATATGGAAGCATTTTATTATTAAGAGAATGACATTTTAATTATTAAGAGGATGGCATTTTTATTTCCTAAGGTTTACAAGTCAAGTTTGTTTTTGTACATGGCAATTTATTATTAATAATGTGGCATTTTTATTATTAGGAGGATGGTACACTTCTAAATTTTTTTTACTGTGGCATTGCATTTTGTATTGGTCCATGGCGGAAACAAAGAACAAATGCTATCGCAAACATGGCATTCTTTTGAACAGTGGCATGGCATGAAACATCTCATGAAAAAATCAACAAAAACAAAGTAATCAAATATGTCACTTGCAATTTTGTGAAAACTGTTTCTACTTGTGGTGTTTGCAAGGGTGCTAATAATTTAACGCTGGGCCACAGTCCTTGCTTCTAACAAAAAGAGTAAATTTGGGGGATGGCAATTATCTAGAGTAAAAATCATGGTAACTCTTTTTAAGCATCCCAAACCTTGATCGGACCCCCACATGAGAATGGCCATTCGATGGTGCCGCCTCTTGGGGAATCGCAACCACTTATTAATAAAGTAATTAGTGCTTCTGCATGCTCATTGGTAATTTTGTTGAGAACTTACGGTTTCCTAAAATGAACATGTGGTCCTATTTTAAGTTAATAAGAAAAAAATTGTTTTTGTCGAAACCCCCACTAATCTTTCGGTTAATGAACTCACGGTCCTGTTTTAAGTGAATCCAGAAAACCTTCCGCTTTCTTCGGAAAACCCGCTGATAGTTCGTTTAATAAACCCACAGTCCATGTACAAAACAACATTTTTTCGGGAGATTCAAATGCTTTTTAACAATACCCATAAATTTCAAACCTAACTCCAATTTTGAAATGTTACATATGAAAGTTAATTAGGAAAATATGTAGAATATGAATATGATGTTGGTTTGCCTATTAAACATTTTTAAATGATATTTATGATCCAACCTTAATAAAAAACGTATGATCCATCTTTCTTTTGTACCGATGTAGATCTGGATTGAAAATCAACACCTCAGCAAAATCACATTAGAGACAAAAAACAATCTATAACCTCGCATGCACGCCTCGACAAAAGCTTGCAGGGAAAGAAAAGAAAGCAGATAACTGGTGTTATATATATATATATATATATATATATATATATATATATATATATATATATATATAGAGAGAGAGAGAGAGAGAGAGAGAGACCTTAAGATTGACCACATTCAAAATGCGTTGTTGGTTGTGTGATCATTGAGGCCACTGTCAACGAGGGTGGAAAGTTGGATCAGCGGCGATACAGATGGGATGCACATAAACCTATTGGGGTCTTGACTCTTGCATCATGGTTTACAAGGTTAGGGGCGGGTGGTATTCTTTTTTTTCCATTGCAACATACGGCTTCTTTTGCTGATGACAAGTTAAAGTAAAGGACTTGGACCTATTGACTTCTTCAGTCATGGTCATTGGATTAGGGGTATGTCTTCTTTTTTCTCGTGTTGCAACACGGACTCTTTTGCTACTAATACGTATATTATAATACAGTTTTTCAAAGGAGGCATATCCCGGTTCCCTAAAAATAATACTATTTGGTGGAAAAAATAAATTCAAAATCATTTGAATACTTTTGGACGAAAAAAATCTGAAATTTCTAAGATTCTATGAAAACCAGTTTGTCTGCCCCTTTGGGATAAAAAAATGGTATGGAGAAAAAGAAACCTTTACTGAACTAAGATGCAGGTGGCCTGCTGGAAATGATAAT